AAAAAATCTTTACACGCGTGCAATGCGCGAAATCACATGAGGTCGATCGGCCATATGACGTCGGTAGATTACATTAGATCATGCAGGAGGGAAGGCTGTCACCTTATAAAGGTTGTGACCAAAAATTATGTAAATAGAACAACAATTTATATTTTAAATTTAATTTTAAAAAAATCTTTACACACGTGGAATGCGCGACATCATATGATGTCGTTCTTCAATTTGTCCTTACTTTTAACGTCATATGACGTCGCTAGATTATATTAGATCATGCAGGAAGGAAGGCTGTCTCCTTATAAAGGTAGTGAACAAAAATCATGTAAATAGAACAATTTATATTTTTAATATAATATGACGTTCGGCCAGCTGCCTTAACTTTTAACGACATCATATGATGACGTTCATCCGATAAAGGTTAACGATGGGTCTATATGCCACAGGACAGGCATATGCCATATAGGACAGAATGTGTTGTATTGATTGATACCTTAGTGTTCTGTCTCAGTCTCAATTTCAGTCTCAATGTGTTGATGGATGCATGATTATTACCACAATGTCATATTTCACTATTCAAACATGTTCTGGACTTACACAGGCATCCTCAGTGACAGTGTTCACTCAGCATCCATGGACACCAGACATAGCAACATAACTGCTCCCAAATTTTATATATGAGTACAGTGTCATCCACTATCAAGGAGATCAATATACAAAAGACACCAGACATAAATTATAACTCATGCCCACAGATGAATGGTGCATAAAGTGTTCATCCTCAGAAGAGAAAAATTTTAATTATTACCCACAGAAACTTTAAATATATTTTAAATAATTTTTAATTTTCAGCTTTCAGTCAACTTTAACTGATGCCTCCCTAAACAGTGAGTTAACACAGTGGAACAATTTACAACATAAGATGTACCTGAAGATGGTCATATAAGGCCAAAACATATACTGAAATAAAACAGCTTGTGAATAACCCCATAATCATTAACAGATTCTGAAAGTTGCACTAATATGGTTGAGAGGGAGCATTATATGACTGCAAACATTAGTAACATAGTAACACAGACACCTGTTATTTATTTGCTTGCACATATCCATGTTTCAAAAGAATTCTTTTTTATCCATGTGCATATTTGATACCCTCTCCTATTTTCTGTGATTTTTAAGCCTAACAGATTACTTTGCTCTTTGTAATTCACATGTGTTGAGCACTGATTTCTGTAGGTGATACTGCTCACTGTCCATTTCTAATATTGGCAAAGAGAGAGAGATTGGTTCCATTTCTGCAGTCTCATGATGAATGAATCACAATTCCATTTGCTTAACTGACACTAGTAGCAAAGTGCAGGGTGATGGTTCCCCAGGTCATCACACCACAGTCAGGAATCTCTGCATGATACATATCTTCTACATGCACCAGTAGCTTGTCAGAGATGTACACTGACCTCTGCAGTGACCAGAAAGAGTAGGAAGCAGATGGCAGTATGATTTGACATGTCATTTCCTTTGACTCAATGTGTGTGTGTGCCTTATAGCAATTCTAAATTGCTCCTTATACACTTCGCTCAATGAAAGTTCTGAAAGGTTCAAAATAATTTTGGCAAACTTACTTGATGAACACATTCCTACTATCAGCACTCTCTTTCTTAAGAAGAGCACATCCTTGTATGACCCTGGAAAAGTCTCTCACGTTGAATATGTAGTGGGACTTGGCTGGAGTTGGAAGCAGATCACGAATTGCTGCTTTGTATATATCCAATGTGGCACTTACTATGCATGACACTGAAGATATAACATCCATTGCAAATCCATTTCTCTGCAAGAAGGGTCACAGTATATTAGCACCTATTATTCTAGAAACTATCTTATCCTCCTTAATTTGATCATTGTATTAATATCTTGTAAAGAGTAAAAATTTTGGAATTCCTCATTATGCAATTTTCTCTGCCCACCTATTACTTTTGTCTCTCTTAGATTCAATTATATCTGCTCTTAGTTTCCTCATGAATGTAATTTCGAATAGTTACTATCTTCATATTTGCATGTGGCCTAATGTTTTAAGGAACTGCCATATTTTTGTCTTGCATTCTCGTGACAAGACATGAAAAGATACTTAGTCTTTTCTGATTTTACCTCTAGTCCAATTTTCTTCCTCCTAATGGAGTTTCCATATTCTAATTTATATTATAATCATGTAGCACACATGGTGGAGAAGAGGAATACATACAGGAATTTGGTGGGAAGGACAGAAGGAAAGAGACCTCTAGGAAGACCTTGATGTAGGTGAGAGGATAATATTAAAATGGATCTTAAAGTGATAGGAGGCAGTGGTATGGGCTGGATTGATCTGGCTCAGGATGGGGACCAGTGGAAGGCTCTTGTAAACACGGTATTTTATCTTCAGGTTCCATGAAATGCTAGGAAATTCTTGAGTAGCTCAACAACTGGCAGCTTCCCAAGAAGGACTCAGCTTCATGGAGTCAATTAGGTAGTTACTTCATAAGTGTTTTAATTATTTTATTCTCTGAATTAGTGTGACGTACTCTGAGACTAGTGCTGAGAACATTTGTAAATATCTTGGTCATGCTATCTTCTGTGAATGGGTTGGTAGAATAAATACTAAAGTGGCGCAAGAAGCGCTGATACACTTCCTGTCGACTCCCACCAGGAATGCCCATTGCAGCCAACATCATAACATCCAGGAGGTATATCTCTGTTGTGTCTTTCAAGTCATACCTAAAGTAAGCATTAAATTACTTGTTGTTATTATTGTTGTTGGTATTTTCTAAATATAATATGGAATTTGATACTATTTTACATAGGTAATGTTGGGGATAAGAGAGGTTTATTTACGAGGGGGTACCCAAAAGAAACCGAACTTATTTTTTTTAAACTTATTTATTCAAATTTTAAGCACAAACCTTCAATCCCCTTCAAAGTACTCTCCACTTACACTAATACACTTGTCTAGTCTTTTATTCCATTTTTCAAAACACTGTCTAAATTCATCTTTTGAGATGCTTGACAGCGCCTCCGAAACGCTTTCCTTTCATGTCTCTTTTCATTCGAGGAAACAAAAACGTCGCACGGGGCAAAGTCGGGTGATTATGGAGGGTGAGGAACAGGGGTCATACCATTTTTGGTCAAGAATTGTCGTACAGACAGGGCTGTGCGAGCAGGGTCATTGTCATGATGGAAAAACCTGTCACCCGACTGCTCCAAGTCACTCCCGACAGCTCCACAAGTTCTTTAATGGTCCGTCGTCGATCTTCCTTGATGATTTCACGAATTTTTTCAACATTTTCATGTGTTCCGGCCGTGAAAGGACGACCAGAATGAGGTTTGTCATCAATTGACATTTCACCATTTTTGAAAAGGGAAAACCACTCAAACACTTGAGTTTTCCCCATAGCATCGTCCTTGTGTGCCGTTTTTAACATTTCAAGAGTTTCTGTTCCACTTTTCCCAAGCAAAAAGCAGAATTTCACCGCCTCACGCTGTTCACGAAAATCAGCCATTGCAAAAATGATGATCACACAAAACAGTTGTCACTATAAACTCTGCCGAAACTAGTCCTTACCTTCTGAAGCAACAGTAGTCGGCTTATCGACTCAGGAATGTTAGCTCTATGCGCTCATAGCGGCAAAACGCGGTACTACAAAAGCTCTGCCCACAAAAAATTAGTTCGGTTTCTTTTGGGTACCCCATCGTATATACCTTGTGTATAGTTTTGGTTGATATGCTAAAAAGCAAATTTTATGACAAAATTTCCAAAACTTGTGCAATTCTCATACACAGCCTTCAGATACATTTAGATTTGCAACAAACAAGTCAGTGTAAGTAAATTTCAGTCTAAGAAGAGAACAATGTCCTGCAGTTTTCTTTAATAACATACAAATACCTGAATCACCCAGCACAAAATACTTAGGTATTCATCTAGACAACCATCTAACCTGGAAGGAACACATTACTAAAACACGCAAACAGATTGATCTAAAAATAAAGGATATGCATTGGTTAATTGGAAGAAATTCCAAGCTCTCATTAGACAACAAAATCTTACTTTACAAAACAATAATAAAACCAATTTTGGTAAATGGAGTGGAAATATGGGGATGTGCTAGCAAAACCAATATTTCCATAATCCAAAGATGTCAGTCAAGGATACTACGTATGATTACTAACGCCCCGCGGTATGTTTCCAATATAACACTACATGAAGACCTGAAAGTGCCGCTAGTGAAGGAAGTCATAATAGGGAGAAGCACAAGATACCTCAACAGAATAGAAGAACATGAGAACATACTAATTCAACCATTACTCGAAAGACACAATGGACGAAGACTAAAAAGGAACTGACCAGCCGACCTGAGAGAGGGTTAACGAGGACTTATCTCTGGATAAGCCCTCTCCACGTCATGAAGAATACTACAGCTAATTAGCTTATAGAATCAAATGTAATTCTGATTGCTAATTTTATGTAAATAAAAAAAAATTTGCAACAGCATTTATAAGAAATCCACACCATGACCAGGCAACCCAAATCTGTTCAATAGTCACAGCTGGGAAAATGCGTAGGCAAGACAAGTAGCCATGCAGAATGCAACACAAATGGCTCGATGTAGAACACTGCTTAATACTACTGAACATATTTTAATTGCAGAAAGATCTATGGCACATAGGTATTTATTCTGTGATATATCACATTGGATGTGCTATGGCGATGTTCCAAAGCCTCCAGTGGACTGTAACACATCTTCATGAGTAAACACCAATAATGGAAAATTGACTATACTCAGAATTCCCTCTGCCTATCAAATGTTGCTCAGTCTACATGAGATGAAGCAATTCTTATGTAAATCATAATTTGTTGTGAAATTACTTGTGCGCTGCAGTTTTCTGTTGTGTATGAGCCCAGATGATATAACTGGCATGAGACCCAATGTGTGTACCTTACTAAAGGAGAGATTTATTTATAACTTCCACCAACACAAGAGTTTATCTGTATTTTTCTTCTCATCTTCAAGCACTTACCATTATTGGATGTCAGATAATTATGAAAGTAAATGTAATTTAAAATGTTTAATCAATGACAAATTTAGTGCTACTGAGTCTCCATCACCATTACTGGCAGTAAAACAAGGGCAGTAGTAAATATAAATATTTCAGGCTCTCAAAAGTTGAACAGCAATTTTGTCCATAAACCTCTGCGGAAAATAAAAGGGGGAGGCACTGACTCAGAGTGGAGTATTTTAAAAGTAATCTGTCATATTCTGAATAGTTCATAAAGTAAGAAATGAGAAAGCAAAAGAACATATTACTCCGTTTTAATTGTACTTGTCTAATAAAATCAAAAATGAGTTTATTGGTTTGCTACCCACCAGAATTCAATCTGATATCATTCCTGAGACTGAGACAGAAACATGTCATTCACTGTTTTTTTACTACAGCCCTGATATTGCCCTTCTAGACCTGATGAGTCAAATAATTTTCTATGTCAATATTATCGATGGAAGGTTTCTAGGAAAGAAAGTTTTGTGGACTTAATTCATGCACACGAAAGGACTGACAGTGGATTAGCACCACAGTTTCTCAAAAAATTACTACTAGATGGGACTGATATAAAAAAAAGGAGCCAAAGTTATTATGGCATTGCAAATATGATGGATATATTATTCAGGAAAACATATTTGCTAGATGTGTAGAACATTGTCTTAATCTTAATCAAAAGCTTTAACTGTTTTTACACACTGTTCCCTGTAGAGAGAGGTTCTCATTTCAAAATTAGCAGTACCTGATGTCCAAAAAGTACTGGATGACATGATGAAAACGGTTAACTACCTCAAGAGCAGGCCATCAAAGCTGGTCACACACAACTCCTATTGCACACAGAAGTATGGTGGCTATCTCAAGGGTGGGTGCTTTCAAAATTCTATGAACTGAGGGAAGAGCTTATAACATTTTTCATAGCTGAAGAGTCTGGGCTGGCTGAGCTGCTTAGTGATGAGACCTGGTGCAATAAAATTGCTTTTCTAGCTGAAATTTCCCAAGTCTTGAACACTCTTAATAAGAGTGTGCAGGGAGAACAAAAACAGAAACAAACTGTGGCCTGTATTCCGCAAGCAAACTCTACCAACTGATTGAGCGACCACCGCTTGTTGGCGAAGATAGTGGCAACTTCAGCAGATAGAGGGTGTCGCATGGACAGGGTAATGAATCCACATGGCCGTTAATCTCAGACTTCTAGACCTGAGCAGCTACTTTTCCATTCAAGTAGCTCTTCAATTATCCTCACGAGGCTGAGTGGACCTCGTTCCAGACACACTACTTCTCAGAAAATCTGGTAGCGCTGGGAATCGAACACAGGACCTCTGGATTTGTAGCCAGGAACTCTGACCACTAGACCACTGAGATGGTCATATGGAGGGAAAGAATGAAAATATTCTTTAAAGAAAAATTAGCCATGTGGGGAGCCAGATCAAAAAAGAGAACAAAGTTGAAATGTTTGAGCTGACAAAATTTGTGGACTGGACAAAAACCTTGTCAATTTAATTCTACAAAGTCTATCACTTCTGAGTAAAGACACTGAAAAGCATTTCCCGTCACTTGTCTTCCTTGGGCTGGGTAAGAGATCCGTTTTTGTGTTAAGCGTGTTCAAGTCAGCAAAATTAAACGTTTCAGAAAAAGATTTGCTGATGGAAGTAAGAAACGACAGATATGGCCTCATACTGATTGTCCCTCTGACAGCAACACTCCATCATCAGAAAGAAGGTGACTGAAGCACTACTTTGTTTCTTTGTGTCGTATCAGTATGAGGTTGGCCTCTCTGCTATGAAAACGATGAAGAGCATGAACAAGCTGCAGAATTAAGCACTGGAGGAGGACTTGCAGGTATGCTTGTCAACCATCCAACTTCAAACAAGGGACATCATAAGACATCACCAGGAACATGTTTCCCACCGACATCTTTATGCTGACATTAAGGCGTTTTATTTGCACTAACGTTTATATGAGGGGACTTCAATAAGTAAGGGCAAATTGACTGGATATTTAATAAGATTTGATGCAATCTTATGAAACTATTAAAGTGTGTAGAGACATCTATAGGGCAGCTTCTGAGAGCATGTAACTGATGGCAGGACAAGCGAGATTCAAAAGACAGTATGAGAATCATGCCTGCCCCACTAGAAAATTGCACCAGCAAGGAGCAGAATTTTGTAATAAGATTTTTGTGGTTAGAAGAAGTGAAAGAGGAGATTCATAGAAGAATGATTCGGCAGTATGGTGGAAGCTGTATCAGTGAAAGGAAAGTGTACCACTGGGTAGAAAGATTTCTAGAAGGCCAAACATCTGCTGCTGATGAACATGCTCAGGTCGCCCCTTGCACAACTGTCAATGATATGAATGCTGTTCACATGGATGCACTTATTGGTGAGAACAGGTGGACTTCTGTGGACACTGTTGCCACTATGTTGACATCATTGTTAAATCTGTACATGGCATTGTCCATGAGACTCTCAAATATCGCGGTGTTCCAGGTGGGTGCTGAGACAGTTGATCGATGAACAAAAGTTGAAGTGTGTGCAGAATTGCAGAACTTTCTTGATACATTTTCATGCTGAGGATGAAGAGTTTCTTGTGTGCACTGTCATGGGGGATGAAACCTGGGTTCACTATTATGAACCAGAATCCAAAAGACTATCCATGGAATGGAGACATACATCCTCTCCTCCCAAGAAGAAGTTGAAATCAGCCCCCTCTGTCAGAAAAAACATGCTAACATTATTCTGGGATATGAATGGACCAATTCTCAAACACTATTGGTAGAAACGAGAGACAGCCAACAGTGTAAGGTACAGCACAATGCTGGAAGAGAAACTGAAGCCTGCAATCCACAGTCGTCATAGAAGACGTCTGCCAAAAGGAGCCCTCCTTCTCCATGACATTGCGCAAGAATACACTGCTGCTGCAACAGTTACCGCCATATAGAAACTGAAATCTGACAGCACAGATGATCCCCCTTACAGTCCAGATCTCGCTCCACCTAACTATCATGTGTCTGACATGCTTATGAAAGCATGCGACAACGAAGATTTCACAGTGATGATGAAGTGAAGGAGGTGGTGCATTTCTGGCTTCAGCAACAATCAAAAACTTATTTTTTCTACTGGAATGCAGGAGTTTGTCAAAAGATGTGAAAGGTGCACTGCAAAGGACAAGGACTACATGGAAAAATAACATCTTATTTGGATCTGCACATGATGATGTGCATCTCCATATAACACAATGTGCCCTTAATTACCGAAGTCCCGACATATTTAAAAAAAAAATTCTTACCTTCTTTATACAGAGTAATTCATAAGTCCCTCTGGGATTTCTGAACTCAGCAGCACAACAACCAAGATAGACACAGCAGAAAGAGCATATCAAGAGGTAGAAAATCTCTCCAAGTTCATTTGTGTAATAGGTGCTAAGGCATACTTGCAGGTTTCATCACTAGGGGGCAGCTGTGATGAAAAATGGCAAAGGCAGGGGATAAGAAAGCGTTCTGTGTCTTGGAGTTTACCAAACCTTAGTCAACTGTGATTATACAATAGAAGTTATGGACCAAGGACCACACAGAACCACTTACAGACAAAACAATTCATGAATGGTGCAGAAATTCCAGCAGACTGACTGCTTGTAGCTCTGAAACGAACAGGCTGGCCTGGGGCCACTGGCCAAGGATGTCAAGTGAATGCAGATGGTATCCTTTTGTACAAAATGTGCCAGACACTTGACTGGGGCATCTGCAATTCTTGGCTTGTGTGATATGTTGACTTCTGATGGCTCCTGACAAATGTTTCTTGCACACACTCAACAGTCTCGGCCAATGGCCTTGGCCAGCTTATTTGTTTCACAGCACACAGGCAGCCACTCTGCTTGAATTTCTTGCATCGCTCATGAATTGTTTTGTCCATTGGTGGTTTTGTGTGGTACTTGGTCCAAAACCTCCACTGCATGATCACAAATGACTCAGTTTTGGCAAATTCCAAGACACAAAACACTTTCTTATCCCCTGTTCTTACCAAGTTTCACCATGCCTGGCCCTGGCACCTAGTGGTGAAACCTGCAAGTACACCATGGTGCCTATTACCCAAACAAACTTGTAGAGATTCTCTACCTACTGATATGCTCCTTTGTGCCGTGTCTGTCTTGGGTGTTGCGTTGCCAAGTTTGGAAGTTCTGAACGGACTTATGAATTACCCTGTACTTATTGCAAATATAAAACATTAATGTAGAATTAAAATTTTTCTTCACAGAGCATACAATTTTATTCAAAACATGAATTTTCATTATTTCATTGAGAAAATGAGAAGATATGGAAAAGAGAGAGACAGAAGGGGGAGGGAACACTCTTTTGAGGCCAGTGGTATACGTCATAGGATTTTTGTTATAACTGACATCTCTTCATCTTTTTCAGTGATACCTCATTTCAATATTTGGAACAATAACAAATAGAAAAATAAATTTTAAAAATAAATCTTTTCAAATCTGTGATCAACATTAAAATACACAGTGATTACAATTTTAGCTACTGAACTTTTAAACACAATCTTAATATGCATTTTTTTTAATGATAAAATCTCTCCTAAAGAAATTGGTGGTGTGCCCTGACTATTTTAGCGCTTTGTTCAGTGTTGAAAAAGTTGAAAAAGGTTGAAAATCTTTGTCTTATGGTATGGCTGAAATAAGACAAAACTGTCTTTACATCTTGAATTTTCCTCATCTAATTCTATGAAACTGAAATATTAACCCTCTGACTGACAACCCTCACCACAAAATTACAAACTAGAACCCCTAAGTCTGCTTTGGGGCAAATCCAGTTGCAGGTTACAGACACATTCTTCAGCTCTGAGTTCCTACAGTGTACTTTCATAGTCATCAAATGACACCTGCAGACTGGAAACAATGTCATTACATAATGGCATCCCAGAGAGCAAGAGAAGTAACTTAAAACAGATATTTATTTTCTGTGTTTGGTGACTTCAGCAAAACTGTAATTGAGTTAACTATGTTTTCAAGAGGTTGGACACAAGTATATATTAATTATATAACACCATCACACATACTGATGATTGACTGTGGCCACACCATTACACACACTGTCCACATAATCACAAATAATTACTATATACCACAGTTATACCATTATTTATACATACTCATCACCACTGGACAAAGTCATCCATATGCTTACCACTGGCCATGGTCAAAGTATTGTCTAAGCAGCTCTATTGGTGGTTGTGCTCCATATATCTCCCTTGCTGGCATGTTCATATCATCCACAAATATAACACATCTGGTGTTCTTTGGGGGCCCATACAAACCCTTCCTCCGTTTATGCAATTTTGAGATGACAAGTTCCTGAAAGTAGAGTTCATAGTTAAATAATGTTTTAGAAAGACATACTACTAAGCTCTACAAAGCAGAGGACTGTATGTAAATTCAGAGAATTCAAAACTTGATATATCAGCCTAACCCTCCTGATGCTTTCTTCCTGAGTTGCTAAGTTCAGTGGCTCCATAATTTTGTGTACCTCTTAGACATTCTGTACACACTGTAATAAGCCAAGATTTCCTTGTGATGACATAATATACATCAGTCAATCCATAACATTGATTTGGCTAAAACTGGTAAAGGAAATATACAGTAAAATCCATGGGGAAACATTTAATTTTGATTGAAATTGCATCAGTGTATCTCCTATTTTATACAGGGCATAAATATAGCCTTAATTTTAACCCGTTGCCGTGGTTTGTCGTGTATGTTTCGTCAGGGATTTAAATCGTCTGGGGGGGTTCGGCGTGTATGTTTCGTCCAGCTGCACACCTATGTTATAACGCCCATAATAATTGATGGTTTTGCTGTAGATTGTTAGATTTTTCGCTGGCCTGTTGTCACAAGAACAGAGTATACTAAGCCAACGAGTTTAGCTGAGATAAGTCATTGTTACATATGCCTGTCTTGCAGCAAAGTTCCTGTGGCTCTTGCTAGCGGTTTCACCGCTATGAATGTCGTTTATTCTTTGCTACGAAGTTATAAACAGGAGAGACGTGATGTGATG